ATACAAAGAAAAAATTGAAATAGTTTTCTTCAATAATGGAATAGACACGATTATATCTTTTTCTAAGAATTGGTCACACTTCAATAAACATTGTAGTTATTTATAAGGTTTAGCATTAATAAGCCTTATTTTTTGTTTAAGTAACATATTTATATATCAAATACATAATAAACAGGTTTTTAAAAGTAAAAGATTAATTTTCTTAGGTGGTGCGTTAGCAATTTTGTCCAGTGTAGTAATATGTTTTTATGCAAAAAGAACAATTATTAAACTTTTGAAATAGAAGTAGGTATCACGTGATTGGCAACGGTTATTTTTTATTTGTAATGTCAAGGAAAAAGATAATGACCTTGACCTGACCTTACCTCTAATATAAAACGGTCAAATTTAATTTCACTGATACTATCACTTACTGATATTGTCTTCTTGATTCTGTGAAAATTTCATTAATTTTTAAATATTAGAAATATGAGAAGAATCCTACCTTAAGACAGATCTTAGTCATAAGATAGTTTTGTGAAACGGGCCCCTGCATTACAGTGGGCTTGCGTCACGTACCCAACTTATGTACTAGTTTTACCGTTATCGTTTTTAGATTGCGCTGCAGTCTGCACGTGCAAAGTGGTGAACACAGCATGTACATGTATATATCTGAAGGAATTATTTCATTTTGTGTTAATTAATTAATTATATTTCAGGAAGTTTAGATAGAACGTTCTATCGTTAAAATGATATTGTCCTACGGACCCCATCTTCGCTAGCCAAGTGTCCGATTCGTTGGGAGATGAGGGAAACGATTCGGACAGTTGGCTAGCGAAGATGTACGGACCCGGATGAGGGCTTGTACGGAGACACAGTTAGATCCTTCTAGATAACTAATGAAGTTGAAAGGACGTACGACAGTCCGGTAAGCACTAGTTTTGGTATAGATTTGGGTAAAATAGTCTATAATACAAATGGTTGGGTTAAAGTTTAAAGGATCAAATGTCATTGGATGCTACAATAGACGATTTTCAGGGAGGGGGGATTTCCAGACCGGAATTCCCTGAGAAAGAAAAACAGAGGTTATGGTGGGGTCTGTTTTCTAGGGTGGAGGGCATCCAAAGTCATTTTATTTTTATTTGCTTCAATAAATATTGTCCTGCAAATTGCGGGGGAGGGGGGGACTGATCCCTATCCAACCCCTGTACCTGTAATGACAAATGATCATGTGACTCCTAAGTTGTAGGAAACTTTTTCCATTTTGACTGTACATAATTTTGTTTCTTGTTTTATTATGTTAAGTAAATTAAAAGGTGTAAAAATGGTATAAAGGTTATGAACCCCTGGAGGTCATCCCCACTCTCCTAATGGACTGGAGATGTTCACAATATGACTGCATAAATTAAATAAAAGTGCATCAATGATAATTAAGATTGCTCAACATTTTATTCATGAATTTGTGTCACCCTATCCTTCTAGAATTAGGAATGAAAATCATTCAAAGAGATGGACCACATTAAACTATTCATATATTTTACAATGTAACATTTTTTTAACATGTTTAAAATGTAAAAACAAGTAGTAATTTGCATACATGAACAAATAGGGGCCTGGGAAGGGGCGAGGGGAATGATCGAGTTGTTATCTCAATCTTTAAGTCTAAATGGTTGAAACTCCTAAAATGAATGTTGACCTCAAATCTGCCTTGTCCTTATTATTTTGTGGTGGTGTCTCCATATGAGGCCAAAATAAACTAGTGCTAATTGTAACGGGAACCGTTACAGATGTTCCCCAAACGCTCCCCAACTCCCTTTTGGTGCCATATTCCCTGTAAGCTTCATTAAATAAGACAAACTCTGTGCATTTTTGACTTTAACAACGTTTTTCCAGAAGGATACCAATTATATTCAATTTTTAGCATTGCACCCAAGCGCATGTGAATGCATACATGTGCGTTATGATCATATATCATCTTGTCTTTCAAGAGTATTTTTAAATATACTAGTTTCAATTGCACGCACATGCGTGCACGTGCATGATGATCATACCTTCCTGTAGGAGTCCCTTACATCTATCTTTGTTCTAAATCCAATCCTGTTTGGTTGAAAAACAAGGGAGTTAAAGCCATTTAAAGTTTCAGCCAATTAGATTGCAGCACACATGCATGCGCATAATTTCATGATTTTTATATTATCATTTTGTAGGATATCCTATTGCATGACTATATTTTAAATTTCAAAGAATTTCGTCAAAAAACAAAGGAGATTAGCAATTTAAAGTTTCAGTCAATCAAATTGCAGCACACATGCATGCGCGTGATTTCATGATTTTTTTTTCTATATCATTTTGTGGGATATCCCAATGCATGACTATATTTTAAATTTCAAAGAATTTCGTCAAATAACATAGGAGATATAGCCATTTAAAGTTTCAGCTAATCAGCTTGCAGCACAAGCACATGCACATGCTTTCATGAAAATTTTTATATATCATGCGGTAGATCATTATAATGTAGCACTATGTTCAAAATTTCAAAGGATTATGACAAGAAACAAGAAAGTTATTGATACTTTAGTTTCAGCCAATCAGAGCAAAACGCACATGCATGCGCGTGAAATCTTGCTATTTTGACCATGCTATCTTGTCTATACTACATGTACTAATGTATCCTTACATTATGAGTTTCAAAAAATTTCCTCAAAAAATAGAAAAGTTACGACAATATCCATTATATTGGTAATTTCACCTAATGCACGTGCGCGCTCTTGCAAGCACGTGCGCTACAAGATCACTTGTGGACAAATTTTCCCAGGAAGAAGGAAAATAATAATAAGAAGAAGAAACAGAGTAAAAACAATATGTTCCCCAACTTCGTTTGGGGAACATAAAAATACTCTTGTTTTCTGTCACCCGACCTACCCTTTTTACCCTCCGACCCTAAAAGTTTTTATTACATTTTCTTTTTTGGGGGTGACTATTTCCCTAAGATACTTAACAAATGCTTAACTCAACCAACAATATTTATAGAACTAATACATCACAAGTGTACAGGATACCTTTACTTTATAAATCTTGATTAACAAACTCGTCTGTAAACCATGGTAAACTGTTAACATATCATTTTCTTGTTATTACATGATATGTTCTGCATTTATTAATTTCATTGATTTTCAAAATAATTTTTTCTCAAAATAATTTTTTTCCCTACCTTCCTACCCTAATTTTTTGGGTCAGGGGACAGGAAACAAGAGAATATTTTCTTTTGGCCTGAGTGAAAAATTCAGGGAGAAGGAACAAATGACATAAAAAACACAATATTGATTGATTTACGTTAAGAAATATGCATGGGATTTTTTTCCATCATAAATCTTCTTCTTACGAACAGCAGAGGCATTATTTTCCGTCGTTTTTGGTAAAAGGAGGGGACATTAAATCTCATTTGTCTGTCAGTCTGTCCATCTTATTGACAGTATGTGCATCTGTCACAATGCATTTAACCTTGGTCATAGATTTTGAATAATAAGAGATGGGGCTTTCATATTTGACACATGAATATTATCACAAAACTTTCTAAATATACTATGAATTTTTAACCCAAGTGATCTTGGCCTTAAAGTTTTACCTACTTTCCAAAAAATAATATTTATTTAAATTGATTATTTTGAAAGAGAAAAGATAGGGCATTCAAATTATACATTGTGTATTACATGTGAAAAGATTTGCTAAATATATCATGTTTTGACTCTGTGACCTTGACCTAGAAGTCTAAACCTACTTATCAAAAATATTATATTTCCTTATAATAACTTTTGATTGAAAGGAGATATAGGACTTTGATATTTGACATGTACATTACTGGCAACAAAATATTTCTGAGTATGCTATGAATTTTCCCCTTTGACCTAATTTTCAAAAATTGACACATGATAGGGGTGCATATTTGACACACATAATCTGCCATAAATTATGGCATCCCATTCACTTAAACACAGAAAGCATTAAAGGACCACAATTTTTTGAATTTGCTTGTATAATCTTGATATGGAAACATCCTCATGTAATGTAGATTCAAGTTTAGTAACCACGGCAACACCCTTCATCGAAATCAAAAACCGATACACAGAATTATGTATCTTAGTGTATTCTACTTGTTTGCCAACTTATACTGAAATCAGATCAAAACTATAGGAGGAGTAGCATTTTGAAAGAATTTCACAGAAATTTCTATTTTGAGTAACCACAGCAACACCGTTCATCGAAATCAAAAATCGATACACAGAATTATGTATCTTAGTGTAGTCTACTTGTGTGCCAAGTTATACTGAAATCAGACCAAAACTGTAGGATGAGTAGCATTTTGAAAGAATTTCACAGAAATTTCTATTTTTAGTAACCACGGCAACACCGTTCATCGAAATCAAAAACCCATACACAGAATTATGTATCTAAGTGTAGTCTACTTGTGTGCCAAGTTATACTGAAATCAGACCAAAACTGTAGGAAGAGTAGCATTTTGAAAGAATTTCACAGAAATTTCTATTTTTAGTAACCAGGGCAACACCGTTCATCGAAATCAAAAACCCGTACACAGAATTATGTATCTTAGTGTAGTGTACTTGTGTGCCAAGTTATATTGAAATTAGACCAAAACTGTAGGATGAGTAGCATTTTGAAAAATTGTTTACAGACAGACGGACAGACAGACAGACAGCTGAACAGACAGACGGACGGACGACGGACACATTACTATCGCATAAGCTCTTCTGGTCTCTGACCAGTAGAGCTAACTAGAGATTTATTTGTACAATGTAAGAAGAGAGAAAACTGGACAATTTTGAATACATTATAAAGCTAAATGTTTAAGGCCTTTTTTTTTTATTTTAATCCAGATCTACAAGTCTGCCAGTGTGCCAGTGAGGGAGTACCTGGTGACGGCCATCAAAGCCATTCTGCTCCCCCAGGACGACGGGACCAGCCCCCTCCAACAGACTTTGCCTGTGACAGGGGATGGTAACAGTCTGAATAATCAGGTGTGTCGTGTGGTAGCTGTGCTACAGACCCAAGCCTGTACGGTGCTCGCTCAGTATCTACAGGACATCGAGTTCACTAAGGAGATCATTCAGCATTGTGGATCCACTATTGATATTCTAAAGTCCCTGGCAAAGGATTGTAATTCAGGTTTGTCAAATCTTGTTATTCACTTTTTTCCCACTAAATCTTGATTAACAAATGATTAGCTGAGACATTTTACATGTACTAAAAAATGTATTTTTTATATTACAGGAGGTAGACTGTTGTGGAAGTCCACTGCAACAGACTTAGGCTACTACACAAGGATTGTGCTAAACCTCCATCTCCACCCAGCAAGCTTGACAGTCGGGCTGTGAGTACTTTGAAATGATAATACAAATGAAAAATTTCTGGATTAAGCGAAATTAAAGTAAAGCTTTTATTTGTTTATAAAGAGCTCAATTTTAAACTCAAACACAGCATCATTAAATAAGTGAGACCTGTACAAGGTTTATGAATCTGAAAAATGAGTCTTTATTAAATATAGTATATACTTTGTCAAGTTGAAAATTGTAAACTGTGTCTTGTACAGAATCGGGAGATGTTGCTGGATGCCAATCCATCCTTCCCCCCGATCCGGGCCTTGGTATTCTCCCAGGACATGACTGGAGTGACCTTCCTTGATGACCCCAGCACAGGAAGTGGACTACCCAGGGGCACCATGATCTACGCCATCCAAGCAGTTCCAAAACAGGTAGTGCAATACCAAGAAAAAACTGTTAAAGCTAATTTCTCTTGCATGAATGCCTTGAAAATAAAGATTTTAATCTTTATTCTTTTAATATTAAGCATAAGTTAGAATTCACCTATATTCCTTTAAATTTCTATGCGTACATGAAACCCATTAATTATTCCCCCGCTCCGAAGGAGAGGGGGGTATACTGTTTTACCCTTGTGTGTCTGTCTGTGTGTCTGTGTGTCCGTCCGTAACAAATTTTCGTTGCAGTTTTCGCAGCAACTACTTATCGTAGATGCTTGAAATTTTAACACAATATTCTCTGAGGCATGCCATATGGTAAGATACATTTTTGTTCAAATCAGATATCAACTTCCTGTTTGTCTGTGCATCTGCCTGTTTCATACATAACAAATCTCAGTTGCAGTTTTCTCATTACCTATTCATAGCTGATACTTGTAAATTTATTACACTCTTTGTTGAGGCATGCCATATGGTGGAATTAATTTTGATATGAATCTGATGTCAACTTCATATTTTTCTGTGCATCTGCCTGTAATTGAACTTGTGTATATTAACATTATAGTGCTCATTTACATCAGAGCGGGGGTATTACTAGTGAGCACTGGCTCACAGATTTCTTGTTCAGAACAAAAAATATTGAGAGAGAAACAGTTGCCCCATTTCTTTACTTTTAATACAGAATCCAGCGTTTTACTGGGATCTGGAGATCTGTTCGTTGCGAGAGGGTCAGGAGGAGAATGATGTGGTCATCTTGTTTGGCTTTCCTCTGTCGGCCGACAAGAAAGATGGAGCCTGGAGTAACCCTGTAGGAACATGCCTCTTCCTTAAGTAAGTCCTTCAGTATAATTTGAGTTTTTCTATAGTTTTACATCTGCATAACAACATGTAGCCTTTAATTCAATTTTGTTCTCAGGATGAAAAAAATGTGATCAGAAATAAATGTTGTGTAGCAATGGTAAGGCTGTCCACTACAATGGAGTGTTAGACTAGACATCACCCTGAATGCTGGGGACATAGCGGGTATAGGGTGGGAGAGGACAGGAGAGTCCCCCGTACAGGGACAGACCCCCAGGGGGAGGTTCTACTTCACGTATAACGGGCACCGCCTCAATGCCTACATGGATGATGTGTTGGGTGGAATGTATCCTGTTGTTCATATTTTTTAGAACACAAGAATCGGAGCAAACTTTGGAACGAGGCCTTTTGCTTTTGCCGAGGGACAGCGACACACGGAGGCGGCTGATGCAGCGAATGACCTGACCAGAGAGATCAGGGAGAGTTTCTGTCACCTGCCATTCCACCCCCACACTGACAGTGAGAACGAGGGAAGCCCCCAGCCCTGATACCACCATGGTGAAAGAAATCAAAGCCCCCGAGAGGACCCCCATGTAAAACTGCTACCATACCAAAACCACAGAATGGTACTTTATCTGTTTATCACAGTTAATATTACTATAGTTACTGTAGATGTGCTTTTTTCCATGGGTTCATAACTCAACGGAATCTCAATTTTCATTTAATCAGCAGATTGAAAATTACATGGATTTCTTAGACTGTCACTATATGCCTTGCATCTTTATTAAGTATGCTTGGACAAATTTCCGTAGAAAAATTTGTGACCACGTATATAGGTAGTGTAAATTTATATCATGCAGAAAAAGATACGGGTACTTAAGTTTGGCAGCGGAAAACATTATTTTCTTTTCCTTTCAATATGTATGACACTGTGACCTTAATGATGATGTCTCCTCCCTCTTTCTAGTCCATCTTAAAGACATACTGTATACAGGGTTATTTTTGCCCTGTCTTATTTTCGCCCTTTCACACTTACAAACAATTTTGCCCCGTTTTAAATTCGCCCAGTCATAGTTTTGTTTAAGAAATTATACTGTATTCTTTGAATTCGCCCCGTTTTAAATTCACCCAAATGAGGGTAGGGCGAAAAGGGGGAAAATAAAATGGGGGCGAAAATTTCCCTGTATACAGTAAATTAGAATGGACATTTGAGTGAATGTGTTGCTGTAGTAAACTAACAAAAGTTAGGTCTTAAGAAGTTGTAATTTCAATAAGCATAAATCTCCCTTCTATAAGTTTGAGCCTTTTTTTTCATTGTACAACCCAGAAGATTGTCTAGATTTCAAGCTGTTGTAAATGTTTATCTTTGAGAAATTCCTTTTCATGTGTACTTTTTGTACTTCCTACATATACATGTAAATATGTATTCCTTAGGCATGACAGATATTGCTCGACATACAGTGGAATTTCTTTATGAAGAGAACGGAGGAATACCATGAGATCTCCAACCACTATAGAGAATATTGAGGAGGATCTAGCTAAGTTTACAAAAGAGAGAGTGAGGAAGGGCACCACCGCGGTGATCAGGAACACCGCAGAAACCTCCACCGCAGGCACCACAGTGCTGCCCAAGTTTGCTGTCCACAGTATGCTCAAAACATTTGGTCTGACTGGAAATGTCCTAGATGTTGACAATGTAAGCCTCTCATTTATCATTATTAATGTTGCACATGTAGGTTGAGCATTTGTAAAAGTCAGTTGTTTTAAGCTGGAGAGTAGAAATATAAGCAATGAATCATTATTTTTTGAGTGATATAGTTTCATAACTGCAACGGTGTGTGCAAACAAATTGAATAACGTGCGTTATAATGATTCATTGCTTATATTTACATTTTTTAACTGTCTACCTTAACTGCAAATGTGATTTCTATTTAAAAACCTATGTATTATCCTTCATGTAAGCTACATGTAATGGATCAGCCTGGTCAATTTGAACGTGATTTTTCGATTTTCGCTTGTTTGAAATGATGCTAAAGATTTTTCTGAAATTGTCATTATGATAGTAAAGTACTGAGAGGGCCTAAGGTTTGTATAGATTTTTATGGGAAAATAATTTAATATATGGTGGTCTTTTCCCTATAGAAACCCCATTTTTGTAATGTCATGTGACTTAATGGATAAATATATAGGTTATTTATTTTAACCAATCAATGAGTCTAAGTAAATTGAACAATATGGCAGACATTTATGGCAAATTAAAAGAGAAATTGAATTCTAGAAGTGAAAAAGAGGGGGAGTGCAGATATTGGAGGGGGGGACTGATAGTTATGGGTATGGGGTCATGCGAGTACCTTGGCCAGAGGAGGGTATTGTTGAGAAGGTGCACTGGGTTGCTCGTATGGTAGAGAAGAGGCTGACCGAGTCCCAGTTTGCAGCTGCAGGCCTGGAGGTCAGTCATCTCTGCCATAAGAAGCTGTGTATCAACCTGATGCACCTTACTTCGGAAAAACCATGCCAGTAATCAAGAATTCATGCACTGTGCTCAAAAGGGATTTTGTTGTGGGACCCACCACCCAAAGTGTATTTTTTATAGTAATTTTTCTTTTCAATAGAATATTGATAATTCTACCACGATAATTCAAAACATGAAAGGAAGCCACCGGACATTATTCTCCAATAGATCACGAACGTCATCAAAAAATTATCAGATCAGAAACATGTATCAAATTAAAAAAATTCAAATGCATGTTTGGCTGTAGAATGAAATACTTGTTTAGACCGCATCAATATGTCGTCTTTATAAGAAATAAACATGATTGTAAATTTCATAAAGTTGCTGATGAAGACGGTTTTTATAGCTAAGCGGGCCTATTCCACAGACCTCCCTACACATAAAACAACGTGATTTTAGCAGTAAAACAGGAACATGATTTTGTTATTGTATATTCGTTTTAACTGATCAATACATATAACGAACAAATTTGTAATTTAAAAAAGGTTATTTTCAATGTAACGAAAGCTCAGATCGTCTGCATTCCTAACACAGGTAAGCAAACAAATTGTACCTCTGGTGTTAAATAAAACAGCGTAATCGAGACATGGTGACCTAATTCGTTTCTCTATAGAGGAAACGATATTTTTCAGTCTTGGTAGAATTGAAATAATGTCCTAGTTGTCGTGAATGATGCAGAATAACCTCCTCGGTCTCGAAATGTTGTTTTTATCTTTCAAACAACATTTCTCGACCTCGGAGGTTATTCTGCAACATTCACGAAAACGCGGACTTTATTTCTTAAATAAAAAAAAAACTAATCACCTGATTTAGAATAATTATGTTCAGAATGCTTCTTTTTATTGCCTTGGGCTCGAGATTCAGCTAACATCATGTTTTTTAGCTCTACTGGTCAGAGACAATGGCAATGGCTTCTTTTCTCATCTTTTGTTATAAGTACAAACCAGTAGAGCTACAGTCTCAACAGAGACATCTGGTTTATATTTTACCTCTTCCTGATGTTTTTCATAAAGTTTGTAAATTTTCTTATGCTTAATAACCTTTTTTGTTTTGTAGAATTGAGATTTTTGGTATGATTTGTTTAACTCATAATCTTTTTGAATTTTATCTAGGGTATGGTCAACCTGGCCACCAGTGGGGATGGGGGCACCAACCCTTACACAGAGACCTCCGATGGAGCTGCCTGGACCGTGATTAGAAGAATGAGCTGCACTGTGCGCCCGACCAGGAAAGTTTCTTGTGAAAGTAACATTACGAGGCAGGGATCATCGCAGAGTTCTATCAAAGCTTTCAAACTTTTGTGAATTGCTATTTTTGATTGTCTTGTCCAAGACAGCTGGAGACAACCTCTTTGAGATGCAGGCATGGAGCCTTGCTTCGTTCTCAATGGAAGACGGTATTGTAAAACCTTGACCTACATATGAACTCTTCCTAACCAAGTTATTATTTACTTTCCCTTTGCACACCAGAAAGTGTTTTCTGCATAGTGAATGATCTCCCATGTAACATTTCACTATTGCATGTTTGGTATAAGAGAGCTTGTTTTTCATTTTATCTGCATCTCCTGCATATACTGCTTAGGCTTAATTTATCTCAGCCTTGCATCTGTCAACAGCATCAAGGGCAAAGTTACGCAAAAGTTTGGTTTTTTCTGCTTTAGTTCTCTTTGGCATGA